CTTCCATTCTCCTCTCGGGATCTTGGGCATGCACGCACACATGCCTGGCGTGAGTTTAAGCCACCGACTTGAACCGCGGTTGACTACATGGGAGTCCAGCGACACAGCCATTACGCCAACTGTCGGTCCCCAAATGTGTGTTCTATGGATTTTTTTTTTTCCTACCATTGAGCTTGTGCACTCGCTGGAGAGGAAAAAAGCGAGAAATCACCCATCAGGAGGATAACTATGCTGAGGTCCCTTTTCCTCCATTCTCCTCATGGGATTTTAGGCACACACACAAATAAGCTGGTGTGACTTTCAAGCTGCCAGGTCGAAGATTTGAACTGCATTTGACCATGTGGGAGGTCCAGTGCCTTAACCACCATGCCATGAAATTGATTCTTTTTTTTTTTTATTTTTTTTTTATTTTTTTTAATTGATTATTTTTAATCTTCAAAATAAACAAGTAAAACCTAAAAATGAAGCAAAGACACACATACACTGAAAAAACCCGGCCAATGAAATCAGCAAATAACCAAGAAACAAACAGGAGGGGTTTGTCGTAGGCCAAAACTTGGGTAGAATTAGTTTCCTGGATTAAGTGTAATATCTGAAAACATTCCTACCCTGAAATGATTAGAGTAAGGAAAGATACCATCAGGTTCTTCTGTTCTCTTTTTAAGTAGTGAAATGGTCAATTTTACTTTAATTTCATAATAAATGGGTTTAGATTTCCCTCTCCTTCACTGTGAGCTGTCCGGCAAGAATGGGTGCAGAATGCAGTTTCTAAAATAAGGCTGAGATCCTTTTCTTTTCTCTCCTGTAGACTGCATTTGGGCAATTTTGTGGAACCTGTGAGCCTCAATTACTCCATGTTTATTCCCACCTTGCTGACTCAGGGCACCACTGCTCAGCAAGAGAAATGGCTGTTCTCATCCCAAGGACTGCAGATAATTGGCACCTACGCCCAGACGGAAATGGGCCACGGTTAGTCCACATTTGAGGGTCCCTGGGCAACCCACCTCAGGATTTCAGTTAATGATGACTCCTGGCATTTGATTTTTTTTTTCTGCTGCTACATATTTGGGTTTTTTTTTTTTAATTATTCATTTAATTTTATTTATTACTACTGTTTTAAAAAATTGCTGTAGGGCATGTATGCTCACTAGAGAGAGAGGGAAAGTGAGAAAGCAAGTTATCAGGTCTGGGACTTAAACTGCAGTCGGCCATGTGGGAGTCCCCCTGCTGGCCCTGGGGTTTTATTTTTAAATTATTTTCTCCTAGGTCATTTTTCTGTAAACTAGTCCAGGGCTCTGGCCTGTAAACATCCTTCAGAGTGTGTTCATGAAGCTTAAAGTGTGGTATAGAACCCTCTTGTGTCAGTCTAATTATTAAAGACTTTGTTATAAATTATTCAGAGGGTCAGTTTCTCAGCAATAGCTGAAAGATGCCTGTCTCTAGTGAATTTAAAGACATGGGTTTTAATAGGGGGCTGAGTGTCTTCCTCTTCCATTGCCCAGTAGCAGGGTTATATTGTAATTTGATTAAAAAAAAAAGTCCATGATTCATAATTCTCATCATCAGACTCCAAATGTTTTCTTTTTTTTTTTTTTTTAATTTGCTAGAGGGAATGTGCAGTCACCTAAGAGGGATGGTAAGGGTGAGAAATCACTCCCCGGGAGGGATGGCACACTGCAATCCCCTGTCCTCCGTTTCTATCTCCTTTTAGGATTGGGGCACACGCATATGTCTACGGTATTTTTCAGGCCACCTGGTCTGGGACTCAAACAACACAGTTGGCCATGTGGAATTCAGCTGCCTTTAGCACCACACCACTGGCTGGCCCTCCCATCCGTCTTTTTTTTTTTTTTTTTAAGAATTATTTAACTTCATTCATTCACTTATTCTGATTTGATGAGAGAAAGAGAGAAGACGTGAGAAGGAAAGCTGTCAGGTCAAGGACTCAAACCACGGTTGACCATGTGGGAAAGTTCAGTACCCTTAACCACTACACCACCTGGCAGCCCCTCACCTGTCTTTTTAGACATGTTTTGTATATGTGATCTTGGAGTCTCTATATTGTCTATAATTCTTGGTTGAACTGTTCCTAAGTGGCTGCTTTCAGAAAGATTTGCTTGGTCTTACTGTGAAATAAACAGGGTTATTTTTGTAGATAAAATATTGGCAAGTCTGTGTGTTGACTGTGAGCTGCCTGACCTCCTATCTGATTGTCAAACTGGAAGGAGAAAAGAAAGGAAGAGTTGAAAGTATCAGTCATTTGGGGTTTGATTTGTGTTTTTTATTTTATTTTATTCTTGAATTTGCTTAAGGAAAATATTCTTTGTCCTAATCTCCATGGAGACTGCACATTCTGGTCATGGTCTTACATGACAAATACCTCACCACTCTAGCTTCAGGATGGCCAGTACTGAATAACAAACCTGAAGAGAGATTCTGAAAGGAAGAAAGATAACATTCTTTTTTTTTTTTTTTTTTTGGGTAGAGATTTTTGCTATAGAGCATGTGCGCTTGCCAGAGAGACAGACAGAAAGCAAGAAATCACCCCCCATAGGGGATGGCTGTGCCACAATCCCTTCTCCATTCACCTCTTGGGATCTTGAGCATGCACATACACGTGCCCCTTGTGAGTTTAAGCTGTCGGGTCTGGGACTCAAACCACTTGCTACATGCAAGTCCAGCAACGCAACCATTATGCCATTTGTTACCCAAATGGCAACTTTTTTAATACATTTCTTCCCCCCCCCCCCATATGACTCATATACTTGCCAAAGAGAGGGAAAATGAGAAATCACCCCTAGCGGGGATGGCCACTCCACATTCCCTTATCCTCCGTTGGGATTTTGGGTACACACTCATACATACCTGGTGTGATTTTTCAAGCCACCAGGTCCAGGGCTTAAACCACAGTTAGCCATGTGGAAGCCCACAGTGCCTTAGCCATCATACCACTGCTGGTCCCCGTGTCTCCCTCTCTCGGAGTATGTCTGTCAGTGTTTGTGATGTGTGTGTGTTGTAATCTTGAGGTAGCTTTGTGATGCTGAACCCTTTTTCTGTTTTAGTAGTCATCACCTGGAATTACTATAGATTATTTGACTTAATTGTCACACTGTTTATAGGAGGTAGAAAAATATTCTGAGGCTAATGAGTGTTGTGTTTCTCTCAGTGGTTTCAATGCTTCTGCCTCTGTTGATGAAGTATATCGCAAATAATGTATTCTATTTTTTCCTAAATATTGAAAGGAGAGAGGAGGAGAAGAAAGAAGACTTGAACTTTCCTGGTTTGAGGAGAACAGAAATAGGATTTCCTAGGCTACTCTACACATTTGCATTTGTTAGAGTTTTCTTTCTCTGTTGCTTCTAATTTTAGATTTTTATTTATTTATTTATTTTTGGAGAGGTGTTTGTTACTAGGTGCGTGCACTCTCCAGAAAGTCAGAGACAGAGAGACAGAAAGTGAGAAATCACCCCCTCCCCCAGAGGGGATGACCACGCCAGAATCCCTTCTCCTTGATTCTCCTTTCGGGGTCTTGGGCACATATGCACATGCGCCCGGTGTGAGTTTAAGCCACTGGAGCCAGGACTTGAACCACAGTCGACTACATGGGAGCCCAGCAACATAGCCATTACGCTAACTGCTGGTCCCTAGATTTTTTTGTTGTTTATATTAGAATCAACTTTACCTTAATCTTTAGAGGTTAGAGAACAATATTGTAAAGTCAGGTCTTGTTTCTTCTTAATTTCGTTCATTACATTATTTCTTTATTTTGTTTTGCCAGAGGGTATGTATGCTTACCAGAGAAGGAAAAAGAGAGAAAGCACCCTCCAATGGATGTGGTCATGCCACAATCCCTTCTCTTCCATCTCTATCCTGTCAGGATTTTGGACATGCATGTACACACGCCTGGCATGTTTCTCAAGCCACTGGGGCTGCGGCTGCGTAGTCAGCCATTTGGGATCAGCCTCTCTTAATTTAACCACTGTGTTACAGGGCTCGCTCTGGAATTATCATTTTTCAATTTTGACCAGAGAGAGCAAGTTGCCAGGTCCTAGACTCAAACCACAGTCAGCCATGTGGGAGTCCACCCGCCCCAGCCTCAGTGGAAAACAGCTTTTTGTTAATTTGTGTCCTGTAACAGCATTGTCTGATATTGAACACATAAAATGTCTTTGAACATCAGGGCTGGGCCTATGTACATGTGTGCCCAAAATCCAATAGGGTGGAAAAATGGAGAAGGTATTGTAGCATGACATCCCCATCGAGGGATGCCTTCTCTCTCTTTCTCTCTCTGTCTTTCTCTGGTGAACACATGCATCCTCCAGCAAATTAAAAAAAAATGTTCTTCAGCATCAAAGAGATTGGCAGTAGAGCAACTTATATACAAATTCTGAGACTTTGGAAAATTGGTTGGTTAACAATGAGTATCTAGGGGACCAGCGGTTAGCGTAATGGCTATGTTGCTGGACTCCCATGTAGTCGACTGTGGTTCGAGTCCCGGACCCAGTGCATTTAACTCAATGCTGGGCGTGTGTGCGTGTGTGCCCAAGGTCCCGAGAGGAGAATGGCCCATCGAGGGATGCCTTCTCTCTCTTTCTCTCTCTGTCTTTCTGGCTAGCGCCCTATAGCAAAAACCTCTCCAAGACAAAACAAAAAAACAATGAGTATCTAAAGAATTGTCATAGAATTAGCTGTAACCTTGAATTTGGAATTCTTTGACACCTGTAGCTGCTGAGAAGTGGAGAGATTCCATATTGCTCAGGTTCATTCCAGGTTCCTCAAGAACATTAAAATTGAGTTACCTGCAGAAAGTCTCGCCACTGATTTTCTCTCTTCCCTTCTAGAGTTTGTCTTCCTTTAACAGCACCTGAAGAAATCTCGAGTTGTACCTGTGGGTCTTTATGCCTTAATTAAAGGCAGAAGCCAGGACCAAGGAGGGTTGCCCCCTATCCCCAGGGGCTGTGGAATTTGTGAGGAACCTGTGGAAGTGGTCCAGAGTTGTCATCCTGAACACATATCTGATTAGGTGGCAAAGCGGAGAGTACGTTTCCTCTTCACAGGCCTCTGATCGTTGTAAGATCTGGCCTCTTCATAGGGATTCTTCTTGCCTTGTTTTCTATTCTTGTTCTTATGTAGGAATATAGCGCTTACATGATATGTAGTTGTCACCCTTGAAGATGATGCATTATCTTTGCAAATCCCCATCATTAACACATGAATATGAGATAGAGCACCTTTTTTTTTTTTGTGAAACTTGAGTGGCTTAGGAGAACAGACAGTACTCTCTAAACCATTCACCTTTCCTCACTGCAGCATCTCCTCTGGCTTCCCCATGTTCGATGTCTCCCGTCCTCTTCTTCCTGCATGCCTTGTCGGACTTCCCATGAGACTTGTTTCCCTCAATATTTGGGTTCTTCTACTTTTCCCACTATTATTGGTAATAATACAAACTTCCATAAATTTCTTTACAAAAACAGTGTTCTTTAGGTAATGCCTTTAGAATATCCTTCTCAAAAATGAATTAGTTCATTGAAGGGGATGAATTTTTTGGGGGGGACAGGTTTTCACTATAGGGCACGTGCACTCGCCAGACAGACAGAGACAGACAGAGAGACAGAAAGTGAGAAATCACCCCCGGGGGGGATGGCCACGCTGCAATCCCTTCTCCATTCTGCTCTCGGGATCTTGGCACGCACGCACACGCTCCTGGCGTGAGTTTTTTTAAGCCACCCGGTCCAGGACGCAAACCGCGGTCGACTACATGGGAGTCCAGCAACATAGCCATTACGCTAACTGCTGGTCCCAGGGATGAACTTTTTTTTAAGAATTATTTTATTGGGAACCAGCAGTTAGCGTAATGGCTATGTTGCTGGACTCCCATGTAGTTGACCGCAGTTCGCGTCCCGGACCCGGTGGCTTAAAACTCAGACTGGGCGCGTGTGCGTGCGTGCCCAAGATCCCGAGAGGAGAAT